GACTCGAGTGATGGCAGTGCTCAGTCATCAGATCAACTTAGTGATGAATCATCTGATGAGGAAAGCGATGATAGTGATGATAGCGATTATATAGAATAAACATTTTGATAGTCACATAAGTGATCTCATAAGACCATACACTGCCAAACTGTAGCTTTTTATAGCACATGATAGCGATCCAGCATATATAATAGCCTAATGCACACATTAAATGGTAAAAATCGAGGTCCGCCAAATTTCACGTGACTTGGCGAGTAGACTCTCCGAAACGAAAGATTCCGATTGATATACATTTCACCGCAGTCACATTGCTGGGGCCGGAGATATCAACGTTTAAAGATCCCAATGGTGAGAACGTATCTTACCCATTAACCAGCGGGAGATGTTAGCCATCATTCATGCGTTACGTACTTGGCGATGTTTCATCGATGGTAGACCATATACCGTTTTCTCCGACCACAATCCTTTGACGTATTTCAGAGCCCAAAAGAAACCAACGCTTCGCCTTACACGATGGATTGGAGAAATCGAGCTGTATTCACCCGACATACAATACAAACCAGGGAAGGAGAATTGCATACCTGATCTATTGTCAAGGCGTGATGGACCGGCTTGCCACACAGATGAACCATCCATGGAGCCTGAATACTTGTATGCTATTGAATCGGTACAAGACACGGATTGGCCAAAGTTTTACGCCATGCCTCAAGATCGATGGCCGGATTCTCTCAAGGACTTGCTGCACGAGAACAAGGATAAGTTTATCGTCAAGGACAATCAAGTATACCGCTTGATACTCAATGGTGACCAAATTGAGGAACGTCGTTTCGTACTATTTGCTCGTCGAGCTGATCTTGTTGCCGATTTTCACTACTCGGTGGGACATGCTGCCAAAGCAACGGTGACCGATCTAATGACAAAACGTTGGTGGTGGCCACACATGAGAAAGGATATACAAGAATGGCTTGCAGCTTGCCCTCAATGCCAACTTGCCGCAAATGCCGATAGAAAAACTCATCATGCACCAATGGTACCCTTGGACATTCCACCTCCTTTTTCTCGCTGGCATCTGGATTTCATTGGTGAACTTCCCACTACGGCTCGAGGAAACAAATGGCTCTTGATCGCGGTGGATTATGCAACAAATTGGTGTTGTGCACGAGCTGTCCCTTTCGCTACTGGTGATGCCATCGCAGCTTTCATACATGAAGAGATCGTCTTGAAGTTCGGTTGCATGAATGAGATTTTGACGGACCGCGGTTCTAATTTCATGTCCAATGCACTCGCTCATTACCTGGGACGCATGAAAATCAAGCA